ACAGGTGATACACTTTCTTCAAGTCAACTTACTGAGAGATGATTAGAAATGCCATTTTTAAACTGGGGAAGATGGACTCATACTTCTAAAGCAACAACCTGAGTGAAGATTTTGAACAAACTTTGTGATGCTTCTTTCTAAATGTTTTAAAATTTAAATATCTAGCCAGATACCAGAATTTTGTAAAATTATACTTTGCAGCAGAAATGATGGTATCTTAGTAGAAATAATTTCTTCCTATTTCCAATAACAAACATACGGATATAGATTAAGGAATATACAAGCATGGAAAGTCATTCCTTATCTTTGAACCTTACATTTATCACCAATGGCATCAGAACGAAATTTACTTAGACCACTGTCTTGTAGAGAAGTATTGCTTTGAAGCCATCCACACTGAAGAAAATGGAACAACGTTGTGAGCTACGATCTAATGTTGCAACAGATACAAAGTAAATTTATGAATAAATGCATCCTTTGTCATCTTTTCAAAGTATCACTACATTCATTGAGCTAGTCAGCTTTTGTTGCAGCTTTTCTCGAAGATCTTTACTATAAATATTTACTGATGTTTCCTAAACATTTGCAAACCAATAAAAACAAAATGATACGCGTGTTCAATACAAAGTATTAGTATACCCTAAACAGAAAATATAACTTTTACGGAGTGCAGCCTTATTTATATTGCTTATGACGACAATCACACTGGTATGATTCGACATGTTCCGGAAGTCATTTAGGCTAGACATTACAGTCATTTCATTCAGACGTAACTATAACAAGAACATGCAACATGACCGTTGCTAAAATTAGATTGCTTTTGTTGCCAGTATGTAATGGAAATGTTTAGTCACAAACTATTTTCTCACATAACTAAGACAGATTCGATGCAGCTTAGCCCGTAATCAATGCACTGACTCTCGTCAGCAATTTATAACAAGAAGGATGGATATATATATATATATATATATATATATATATATATATATATATATATATATATATATATATATATATATATATATATATATATATATATATATATATATATATATATATGTGTGTGTGTGTGTGTGTGTGTATAGAACAGCCTGCATCAAAGATAAGTTCAAATTTTAGAAATTTTTTTGCTGATAAATGCCTTTGGTGTAATAGCATATTTTGTATTGAACAAGCATTTTTTGACGCATTAATGGAACATTTTAAGATGAAAGCCAGCATGTATATATTTTATGCGTTTTTCTGTGCGTTACAAAATAAATACGTTTTATTGAATAAAACGTTAAAATGCCGGAATCTTTCATTTCCATAAAATATTTAAATGCATCCTGAAACACTATGTGGTTAAATTTATAGAGATTAGTAATTATGATTCACCATGGCAACTTACATAGGGCACACTGCTCTTGCCAGTATTTCCTAAAATAAATAGGGATACATGATGATGGATACGCTTGGCAAAAACAGTTTATTCAGTAACTCGCTGCTGCGATCTCTGGCAAATGTCTGTATACAATGTGATGGTCCGTCGTGTTTGATGGCAACTGTGCATTTTATTGGAAATCTATCGACATTAATTAACTTCAATAGGAAACAACACAAGTGATTTTGGATAGGAAAACAAATCTCTCGAGTGACACATTAGACCCATAGGAGCAAACAATTAAAACGCAATTTTCTATACAACGCGTACGTTAATGTGATTCTCGATCATAATGCTATTCGAATAACCGCTCAATTATGTCTCTTGGTTTCAATTAAATACACAAAAGAATTGATATTTTTATGGTAATTTAAACTATAAATCAAAAAGTTTAATGGTAAATATGTGTACTGAGCCAGGCAATACTCGCACTTTTCGGCGTAGCAATATTAAAAGTTTTATTTCCATTATTTATTTGTATTCTAAAAGCTGCGAACTTTATTTAACTTTAAAACTTTATTTAACTTTTAAAAGTGATCGGTCAAGAAATAAGGAATATTGTGATCATGGGAAATCATTTGAAATCTACATACAGAACGAACTAGAGAAAGCCACAATTATAAATATATATATATATATATATATATATATATATATATATATATATATATATATATATATATATATATATATGAGACTAAGCATTGTCTTTAAGAAGTTAGCTAGATTTTTAATAGTTGCCTATCCTTTTGTTGTTTTTGTTGTTTTGTTATTGTTAGAGGGTTCAACTCCATTTTTCAGTAAAGGAGTCTTAACTTGGAGGCTAGTATAAATGGTGGAGAAGAGACCCGGGAAAATTCAAGAACCGTCTGGCCAACTTTCTCATTAGTGATTCTGTAAAAGCCAACTTCCATCATCTTGTATGTCTTCAAAATATGCAAGGTGTTGAAGTCTGTGTACTAAATAAACTAAGTGGAATTGCCCAACAGTCCGTGCTGGCAGCTACTAATGGAGGTGAATGCAATATGCACTCTTCATCACTTTCCCGACAGTCTAGAGAAAACAATGATGAATATATATACACAGTGAAATAGTCCTGTAGAATGTATCACAGTCTGTTGCATCGCTGTCTATTTTGTGTCCGGATGTCATGAGACATGCTATTTTATTAGTGTGGTGGATTATTTAACATTTTAATCCTACGCCGTGTTGACAATTGGAAAATCGGTCTAGTCCAGCCTGCTTTCGTCTGCTGCAAGGCACGTGCGACAAAATATAAATTTCTCAAAGCTGGTTCATTAAAATACCATCTGCATGTATCTTGTAATAGTTTATATTATTCGGTAAATCAACCCAAATTTATGTTGTACATATTTGTATATTTTACTACGCTTTTCCTCACGGACGGTGGAAAAAATGTACTAAAATTTATACCTTTCCTGAAATCTCTGTATCCCCACGCACAATTAAAACGAATTACATAAAGTAATTTTTTAGATATTACCAGTCAGAATGCTACACAAAGTATGCTGATAATGACTTGAGTGAACGTTCTATTTTTTTTTTCGATCTTTTAAGTTAAATCAATTGTTTTGTTTCAGGTTCGTAATTTACTTTTTATTTGATTGAAAATTAAATTGCGGATAGTAAAAGTGCAGGTTATGAGAACACGAAAGTAAAGACTTCTTAATCTGTAATGCATCTTGTTTAGAAAGATTATTTCAATGGTTTCAGCTCCTTACCCTTCCATACCCCAATAGAAGTTGCCCTGGCCAAGCTAAAGCCCATAGATTGTTCCATTAATTCAAACATTTTCGTTCTTGTGAAATAGTTTTACACTTTGGATATAGTTAGTACATTTTGACGTTTTGATCTCTTTAGCTGCTCATCTTTCCATCATTTTGCAAGAATATTAGCGATAAATTCAGGATAATCAAATAATGACAGCAATTTATTATCGAACCTTTTACAAGTGACAGCTTGTCTTATTATTTTGTCAATGTGACAGACAAACAAACGAAGGAATAACTTGACGTTTCGAATGTTCTCCTTAGAACCCTCGAAGACTGTATCGTTTATCTTCAAAATTAACTATGAAACGGTTCTTGGGCACATTTAATACAGAACGTAATCTCTACAATAATGTTTCCTTGATAATGTTTTCGCTTTGATTAACACACTTGGAAATGCTTATAATCCCATCCCTATTCCATTCATACAGTTTTTACAGTTAGAATCAATGGTGGCTTACTGTATAACGTGCTAAACTATCGACCAGAAGGATGCAGGTTAGAATACTACTACTAAATTAGCTCATGTTGGCAATACACTTTACTACAATTGTATCGGCACAAAATAACCTTGAGGTGTTGCTCTGCCGTGATGCACCCAATTTAAACTGGTAATGTATTACCCATTAAAATCTGGAGATTGTCTTCAATTTCGGCTGAAATGGAGGTAGGAAACGCAGTTTGGGGTTTTCAATGCATCTAAATACATCTTCTTCTGAGAGATATTCGTTTTCCGGATTCTCAGGAGTATAAAAGCCGTTGTTTCCCATTGGCTATTTCACTCGCGCGTGTGCAGAAGACTGTAAATTGTATCCATGATTTTCTTGTCTTTGCACTTTTAACTCCATATCTGCCTTTGGCAAAGATTCTCCTGTCCGAGTGCAGTTTTGACTGCTTTAAATAACAGGCCGACAGGTCTAAATTCCCCGACACAAACTCCGGTTCTGAAACCAGTAATGTTTGGCCTTTTAAAAAATGAGTCTTAAATATTAGTTTTTCCCGTCCTATTTTAAATACGAGAAGAAAGTCTGTATTATTTGGCATAATTGTAGGACTAAAATCTGCCCACTACATTTGTAATACCCTACTCTTTGGTTTTTCGAAAATGATGTTGATGTTACTAAACTCGAACGTAGCGTACTACTTTTATGACTCGTAATCTTTGCATACTGGGTTCGTGAGCTAAAATTGTTTTGAAACTTGCTTATAAGATTTCTAGGAATGGTTTATTTGTCATTATTATTGCACAAATAATCAAATAAGCAAGGAATAATAAAATTTGGTATAATCGTCAAATTTAACCATTAAAGTTACACTGCCACATCGAGATGATACATCTTAAAACTTGGAATTAATCCATTCTGAAATGTGACAGTCGCGGAAGACTTATATAAAATAGTTACTTGTCATGACATTATCAGTCGTTCCAAATCTGAATGTCAAAACAGAATTGTTCCAAAGACACCTTGTCAAACGTAAGTTCATGCAAGGTGTATGGATCATAAATTTATCATATACACAATGACACCTGATTCCTAACTGATCTAAGCCTTTAAAAAATCATTATTTCCACAGGCTAGGAGCAGTTTCTGCCTGGATGTTAAATTTTCTTTAAGTATCATGGCGGTGACAAAGTCTACTTCAAAGGTTTTCTTGACTTCTTGACAAAGACCTAATAGAATTGACACTCAATATTTTGGTTCTATGTTAGGATTTAGGCTGACATTATTAAAGCAAGTTATAATTATTATTTTCATGAAATTCATAAATGTTACCAAATGATGCTCGACCTCTCCTGTGGCCTAATGATAATAGCGTTCGCCTTGCATGCGGGTGGTCGCTGGTTTAAACCCTGGCAGAGTCATACCAAAGACTTGCAAAAAAATGGTACTTATAACCGCCTCATTAGGCGCTCAGCATTAAGAGGTCAGTATTAGGACTGGTGTGCCTGATGTCAGGATGATGTGACTTGTGGGACATCATGTAAGGTGGGACATCATGATGCCCTATTGTTAGACATCACTATAAATTGTCGTACTTCATACATCATAGCTATGTGATCTAAAAACTGGTCATGCTATGTTAAAGTTCCGAATCACACACACACACATACACACACACATACTCTCTTATTGGAGAGCATTTACACATATACAGAGGAAATATAACACTTTAACTTGTACTTATAGAATGTTAAATGTATTGGCTTTAATATTGTTGACATTGATATTAACGTTTGGTGCGGTTAAGAAATGGACTATTTGGTTTTCTCTTTATTATGCTAAAAGACACTAAGCTGTCCTTGTAAATTAATTAATATGCCGCGGGTTTGTCGTTAAATCTGCTGAGGATGATTCTGATGAATTCCATATCAATCTTACCTCTGTTTTGTAATTTATAACACTGGTCAGCCGTTTATGTTTAACAAGGATTTCAGATGATATAATCAGTTGAGCCATAAATTAAGGCACTTTTTATTGAAATGCACATAAAGTTTATACTTTTGCTCACTCAACTTATTGGCATTAAAATATCATTTTATTTGCATAGAGAACGTCCAGTGTGTAAGAAATTATAAAGCATATATCACTGACAATGACAAATTCGAATTAATAGGAAAATCTCTGGGACATAAGTGGAGAATGCCTGTTCTTTCAGATACACGATATCACACATTTCCGTTTAAAGTTGTCTTCCTTGGCCGGGCCTCTAGAGTTCTTGCAATCATGAGCGTCCACAGAGGTGGAAGGTGGTTTGTCTGGGTACCTGTACAATATTTTTTATTGTACATTGTATAAATATATCTCCTTGATTTTGGTTGACTCGACCCCATCCCCGTAAACATCTCACATCAGTCAAATCTTTGATAAACGACAAAGGATGGCTGTTCGTTTTTATTAAGATGTAGTTCTAGATATATTTTTTTTTTAAAAAAAAACATCAAGAACAATATTATTTAAGAATAATTAAAAATCATTACACCTAGCACATTAATTATTGTGTAGTGATTAAAAACAAACATAAAGACGTGCACAAAATAAATAAATAACACAATAATAATAATAATTATAAAATAAATATTAGTCAATGTAATTACTAATTTTACTCCTTCATTTTTTCATTTATTTCAAATTAAACAGATCAATTAATTGAAATAATATTACATCGCGAGATACGTATCTACTAATGTATCTATAAAAATCTTGCTATTGGATATTTAATGTTTCAGTTTCCAGTATAGCTAATCCCTACAGTACTAGCCAAATGGCATTTGCCACAGTTCGGCTGTTTTATGACGTCTCGTTTCCCCTGATACCAATTAACAGTAGCCGAATTGGTAAGAACCTTTACACTGTACTTATCATTGCCCTCAGATAGCTCCAATTAATCAATAATTTGATAAATGTGAGAAAATCGAAACGATCATGGGTCATTAAGACTAATGCCATAAAATAATCCAATAGAAATACACACCATTTGATAACTCCGCCCTCTCACCGCGCCCTATTTTCTTCCAATTGGTCATTACCGTAGCGGGAGGGTTCTGTGTCAATGATGGCATTGGCGCTGGAAATTAGTTCTTGTCTTGTCATGCCGGTGTTGCACCTACAGTGTTACAAAGATGTGTTAACTATTCGGGATTTTTAAGTAGGTCAACACACTGCAGTTCTGCGCACAAACATAAAGCGCAAAGAGGCAAAGAGTTGGAGAACAAGCATCACATGACTAGGAAAGTAAATACTAGAACAAACGGCCGAAATCTCTGTGTCGCAACCTAAGTGATGCACTAGTCATGAAAGCGACATTTTTCGTGCCGTATCGGATGCGTTCCAAGGAGTTTACGATTGATTCTATTATTGGTAAAGATAGTGAGATAACAAAAGCTTCATCTTCGCAACTGAGTCACATGAAAGTTCTAGCAACACACAATGTACAAGAAGAAATAATTCCTAGAAAAGATTTACATTTTCGTAATGTGAATGCTGTACACAGCCCAGATATGATACATGCAGCGCTACACGGCCCATATGTCCTACAAGCAACGACACACAGTCCACATGTCATAAATGTAGCGTTACATAGCCCACATGTTAAAGACTTTCGTGATGATAAAGACTTTGCCTTCTTCAATGGCACCCCCAGTGACTTACTAAGAGCAATGGCTCCTTCAGCGGATTCATTAAAACAATTTCACGAATCGTTTTTACGCAGTACCACTTTTTATGGAACCCGTCAGAATCCTTGCACATCGCTAAATGTGCCAGGAATGTATTCTCAACACATACAAACTTTGTCACACGTGCATCAAATGGAACTGAATAACACCAGAGACTTTCAACACATGTACCATCATATGACAAACGGATATAGAGGGTATTCCCTGGCAAGATTTGGAGGTAAGAAAAATAATACGAGTTTAAAAAATAAATTGATCTACAAACTTAATATATTTCCTTAATGTCTTCGACAACTTTTAAATGAGTATGTGTTTCTGCGACATCTTTATCATGATTTTAAAAATTTAAAGAAATAGTGCAGCCGAGTCAGGTATACATTATACGTGAAGATCATTCAATAAATTAAATCTGTATACAACTCTCATTCTCCTCCCTCCCATAAAGAATAATATAAGATGGGAAAATAACACCTGGAAAAGAAAGAACTAGCTCAGGTTGAAAATTGATTTTCTGTATAAGTAAAATGGCATTGGTTTTATTACTCATTTAAACGTTTGACCCATTAACCTTCTCTAGGCATTTTGGGTACTATTATGTTAACAACTAGATGGCGGGGGGAATACCCACTTGCTGTGCTTGCCATTTCACCCATGCAATTTGGCTCAGCTAATGTGGGTATGTCAGAAAGCTTGCCCATAACTTTTCGGGGTTCACATTTTTCTTACTCCACCAGTTATAATGGCCACTGTGTATAGCCTATCATGTGCTGAAAAATGGCATTAAACCGAGCACAAAATCAACAACAATTAGAACTTGTGTGTCATCGTTGTTGTTGTTGCTCTTGTTGTTGCTGTTGCTAGTTTTTATTATTATTATTATTATTATTATTATTAGTAGTAGTAGTAGTAGTAGTAGTAGTAGTAGTAGTAGTAGTAGCAGTAGTAGTAGTAGTAGTAGTAGTAGAAGAAGAGCAGCAGTAGTAGTAGTAGTTGACAAGCATTTCTTCAGTCCAACTCCACAATATGCGAGTTAAAGCCATAGTTTTGTGCTGTTATGTTAGCATGCTCTACATTCGATGCCGGATTTACCATTATGCTTAGGTGTGCTTTAAACACGTGGCTCATGTTGACGGGGGAGGCGAAGCATCATCTTGAAAAAAAAAATTACGATGAATTTTCAAAAGTTTGTGACTATTTGAATTACTCCTAAATTTCCTGTGTATATATGCCTGACTACCTGTGTTGGCCTACCTCTTTCAGGGTCTAAGTAAGGGACCTTAGCTAGCACAGGGTTACATTTGTCCTAAATCCAGCGCTGTCTACATCCATGGCCAACTTTCAATGTCCAAGGGTCTAGTTTGTTAATATGGTTAAGTCTGTAACATTGGTCAGAAATTTGTGTACTCTATTCACATTGACTTAAAGTTTGATCTTTATCGATAGCAAATTACGCAATCTTTAATATTTATATAAGGGTCAGAATGAAACAAGTGTATACAAAGCGGTGATCGTGACTGTGCCTCTGTTCACCGTCGTCTTTACTTACATTATCATTATTATCAGCATCAGCACAAATAAGCAAGAAAATGAGAAGAAAAGAATAAGATGATGATGATGATGATGATGATGATGATGATGATGATGATGATGATGATGAAGCAACTGTAACAGCGCTTATGTTATGTCTGATGACAACTATACATTACAGACTTACAGACTTACAGACTTCCAACTTTTGTTGAAGGAGAACAATGCATAGCAAGAGGTACTGGCCCAGCTTATTTACTTTACTGAATATTTTCCAATAACATTTTCGAGATGCTTGTGTGTGTGTGTGTGTGTGTGTGTGTGTGTGTGTGTGTGTGTGTGTGTGATTTGGTTTTTTAGCGCAGCTTTAACAATTTTTAAGTCATATCACTACAATGTCTAGCACGGGGACATCATGCCGCAGACATGTAGCATGACATCCCACCCAGTCACATTATTCTGACACAAGGCCGATCAGTCCTAACACTAACATCTTAATACTGTGCGCCTGTCGATGCAGCTGTTAGTGTCATTTTGTAAGTCTTTGGTATGACTCGGCCGAGGATCGAATCTGCGACCTCCCGCATCCGAGGCGGATTCTCTAACCACTATATCACCTGAACGGTTTTGAAATGCTTATGTATACTAGTCCAATTTACATTGATTAATAGCAATCATACAGTAAACTTCAATAACTCAGAATTCGATTCAAAGCAAAAACACAAGATAGAGTATTTAACGTCATGATTTGTTATTTCTTATTTTATTTACAGTTTTGAGTAATCATTATATTACCAGCCATAAAATTAAAACTTCAGTAAGTTATCGATTATATATCTTGTTCACATATTCACAAACCTATAAATTTACGTTTGTAGGGAATCGGTTGACATCTGTCACAAACCTATAAATAGACTTTCGTAGGGAATCTATTGACATCTGTCACAAACCTATAAATAGACTTTTGAGGAAAGAATTTCGCTCATATGATTTAAAGCTACTTTAGCTTTTCCTGTACGACAACGATAATAATGATGACGATAGTGAATGCCATTGTTGTTGTCATTTGTATCTCAATGTTATTTAGGTTTTTATATGAAGACAGTAACAATAAAACAAAATAAAGAATATGTATTTATGTGCGGGGTATTTATGAAAGA